GACGGGGGAGGGGCTGGATCCCCCCCCCCCGCTCCGATCCGCCAGCGCTGACTGGCGGATCGGACGGGGGAGGGGGCGGGCACAGCTGGCTCTGCCTTTAGATAGGCAGATCCAGCTGTCACTCATGCAGCTGGGCGGATCCACACATAATTGTCGCAATCTGCTTCAGCTGCGGTGTCTCCGTATACCGCGAGCAGTAGCTCGCGGTATACTGTGGCTTCTCAGTATAGCGTGAGCTACAGCTCGCGGTATACAGCTATAAACAAACCGCGAGCTGGTTTGTGTCCTCCCCGCTACCCTAAGGAGAACTCTGGGGAAAAGCCTTAACCCCATAGTTCTCCTTTTAAGAACAGGCTGAATTCTTCACAGCATGTTTTCGCCCAAAAAGGTGCTGAAGATTATTTTAGGGATTTGCTGGACACACACATGCTATGACCCTTCCATTTTATCATATCCCATAATAACTAATGCTACGTACACCAAAGTCTGACCCTGCTATTTGCATGTAGCATCAGAAATTGAAATTCTTTAAACAAGGCAGTGTTTATTTGTCATCAACTATCAGGTTTGATGATACTAAGCCCATAGTATTGTTCTTAGCTGAGATAAGAGAAACTTGTGTAGTCTTAGGCTGTTGTAGCCAATCCTTTTCAATGTTCTTCATGCTAGATTCTTTAAGCGCCTGTGTACTTTCTGTGTGCTTAAACTCTACCTCTTCATCTGCAAACTTTTTAAAAAGGGGGTTTACTTTGCAAATTGCCACTCAGTAGATTTTAACTCTGTAAACTCAAGAGGCTTTAGAGCAGAAGTCCCAAACTCAAATGACCTAGGGCCACTGGGCACATTTTCTTCTTCCATGAGGGCAGCATGAGGAGAGACTGCCAGGAGAGAGCGAGGAGAGACTGTCAGGAGAGAGCGAGGAGAGACAGCCAGGGGAGAGAGCGAGGAGAGACAGCCAGGGGAAAGAGTGAGAAGAGAGCCAGGGGAGAGAGCGAGGAGAAGCAGCCAGGGGAGAGAGCGAGGAGAGACAGCTAGGGGAGAGAGTGAGAATAGATGGCCAGGGGAGAGAATGAGGAGAAATAGCGAGCAACACATCTGCCTGAAGCAGAACCCCTGTGGCCTTCAAGACTTATCTGCACCCTGTGTTTCAGACACCTCCTTGCTCCCGAGTCCCAGCATCCCTCTGTCTCCCAAGCCTCCTCCATGCAATCAATTTGGAACACCAGGACCCCGTGGTTGCCTAACATTGTGACATCTTGTGTCCGTGTTTCAGCTTGCCTCAAACCCGGACACAGCACATACAGGACTCAAAACCTGGACTGTCCGGGTGAATCCCAGACAGGTGGCAACCCTAGCTAGGCCCCTTGCTGCTACAAAAGGTAACAGTGCCCTCCCTGTTCCTGGGCACCCACTGCTGACCTGATGTGTGTATGTGTTCAGACACAGAGTGACGTGTTTACATTTTTGCATTTCAGAACACACTATGGCAACACCATTAGAAGACGTTGGGAAACAGGTAAGCAATGAAGTCATGCATTTGTTCTTAGTTCACTACATGTGATCATAGCTAAAAGTAAAGAATTCTAGCTTATACCATGTTGTTTTTCAATGAAACGAAAGCAGCAAAGCTATCATGCCGCTGTATAATTTATTTATTGCTCACAAAAAAAGATTTGATATGATGCACATGGCTGTTCCTGACCGTCTCTCACCCAAAACAGCATATTTATGGGGCCGTTACAGCAGGCTGTTTATATTCACTTGCCGCTCAGCCTGTACAAATCAGTGACACGCTGATAGGCTTTGTTGCTGTCTGCATGTATTTGCACATAAATCAAATGCCTGTGGTTAGGTACATTTTACCAGCCCTGGACCAGCCCACTCATCTGTCCTCAGATTACACACGGACAGCAATGGACTGTGTCAGCCTGTCACTGATTTGTACAGGCTTGCTGTGCACCACAGCAGGGGCATCCCAAGGCGTGGTGTCACCCGGAGTGGCCACCGGGTGAGTCCATGACCAAGTGCCTGACTTTTCAGAGGGGGTGACACCAACAGGCAGAAATAGGTTGTTATAGGTCCAATTTAAAAGTCCAGTGTTCCTTAGGCCAGCTTTACACCTATGCATGTGCACTGGACAAACATATCCTTTGTGTATTTTGAGGGTGAAATGGTGCATTTCTAACCGACGCCCAATGCATATCTACCCAGTAAACAACACACCTGGCCCTTTAATGCACCATGCATACATGTGAGAACCCATGCACTGTGCTGTAGTGTGTTAGAGAAAAGAAAGGCTCTGTTTTTGGTGCATGGGCTCTCATTGAGGGCCCATTGGAAATGCATTCTAAAAATATGAAGTTATGTGAGATCTCCCTATTGGGTTCACAGACAGCAATACTTGATTTGATTTGGTACCACCTGAAAATCATAAATTGAACTAATATTAAGAGGTGCTACTGTTGTCTTTTATTTTTAGATCTGGCATGGAGCTTTCCTTCTTGCTGATTACATCCTCAGCCAGGAAGACCTATTCAGAGGTTGTACTGCACTGGAGCTTGGAGCTGGCACTGGTTTCACCAGCATCATTATGTCAACAGTTGCTAAGACTGTCTATTGCACAGGTAACACATGTAATTTCATTATATGCCATTTTAGACTCTGAATAAATTGTGCTAATGCCTTACGTCCAAGTTAATAACAGGATTCCAAGTTGGATTTAAAAGCTTGACATATGAGAGAGATGACTAGTTATTTATCTGATGGTATGATTACATTCGTTTCTATAAAGCCATTTTGCGATATTGTTCAGATCTGTTGAAAGCTGAAATAGCTCAGCTAGGCGTGCATAGCTACAGTATAATCACCCTCAATAACAGAATGCTTTTGTCTCCATTTGCTATGAGCAACATATGTGTTGGATCTTTAACAGGCTGAAGGTCTTTAACCCTTAGATTGCCAATAAGTGTATTATATCTCTTTACAGTCTGTAAAGCCTTAAAACTTGCTTGGCCAATTATGTTGACCCTGTGCCCTGACTGTCTCTTTTATAGATAGACAATAACATGACATCAAAGGTTAAAAACAAACGCTTGACTACAATAGTAGCTGTGAACCTGTTTTAAAAAGATGTAACAGCTATCCACAATCCTGTTTATTCTATCCTTTTCCTGTTACCTCTCCTTTTCCAGCCAATAATTCTTTGATACAATAACCTCCTGCATCCTGATTGCAGACCTGCCCATTCTTGATTTATTGCAGGCATGATGATTTCATGTTTTTGGGCCGGAATTGACACTCCATCCATGTGGCGATTTTTATATTTAAACCCATGCAGGTCAAATTTGAGCCGTGGGTAAACCCATTGACACCACCAAACTCAAGAAACTTCAATAACAAAACAGAAGGACCTGGGTGGAAACTTGTTTGCTGAACAGTGTTTAGTGTAGAGGTTGAAACTGAGTGATTTCCTCCGCAGGCTGAATGAGAGAAATTTAGCTGTGTATGGCTAGATTAGGTTTATGGATACCTTTTAAGGTACCTTTAAAAGCAGCACCTGATAGTCCCTAATTTAGCAATTGCAATTTTATGCAGGGACAGTCTTTGCAGCTGTACACAATGTAGATACCTGTTTTGGTTGACAAAGTGATTGTTTCCCCTGAGATAAGATGATGTTGGGATCATCTGCATGTGCCCCCACCCACGCACACACACCATGCACGCACACACACACACCTTTTCAAACTAATAACAGTTGTACTGTTTATAAGAGAAGCATACCCAAAAGACATTGTAGGGTTCACTATTAGACAACAGTCATTAAAAGAATTAACATTGTAATAGAAGTGTTTTGAAATGTTTTAGTTTCCTGACAAATGTTTATACTTTGAAACCATAAGGCCTAGTTCACACCTATGCAGTTTTGAGCAGTTGGAAAAGCACTTTTAAACGCCCAACACAAGAAGTCCCATGATTTTCAATGGCCCCTGTTCACACCTGAGCAGAAAAAACGCCTGAAAAGGTACATGAGCTTTTTTGGGTGGTTAACAGCGCATTTTTGCTCCAAAGACTTGTATTGTGAATGTGCAGAAATGCACGTTCGCAATAGGCACATGTTTCATCCAGATGCCAAAGACCTCCTCTTTTTGAGAAGAGCATTGTGGGAGACAAAATGGAGGATTCAAGACTGTCCACATTTTGTACAAAGGCATTCAGCAGGCAAGTGCTTGACCGCCCTTGCATCAAAGATCAAAGGAACCCTCATTAAAACAACAGGGAAAGTAGGAGCAATGTCTAGGCACAAATAGCCTCTAAAATCTGGCCATATTGGGAACGTTTCACTCCCACCATGAAAGATGCCAATGGTGCCAAAGAAATATATGTGACCTTTTTTTTTTTTTCCTTAATTTCTGCTTTCATGTTTACTTTTTAGGTAACCACTGTATTGTGTAGTGGTTTTCATGTGTGACTAGTGTAGGGCTGTGCCACTTTCTCAGCATGCATCAAACTATGCCAGTCATGGCTGTTGTTTTGCAGAAAAGTAATGCAAATATATTCTTCAATCAGATTTCAATGTGTGTGTTGAGCTGTAGTAACCTATCTCCAAAAATGGTGGCAATTTGTAAAAACTGGAGCAAACAGAATCTATGGCATTTTTCCACAGAAACAATCCACCTATTTCTGCAGATTGTTCAGTAATGTTTTGAAAAAGCTAGATGCTGATTGGTCGTCATTTCCCGCAGCTCTTTATTTTGTCTGCTACAGTTTTTTAAAAGTTACCCACAATATATCTGAACTCACCCACTTAAAATAGAGCAGGAAAAACGGAAAACGAACAACCCTAAATAAAAGCAGACCCCCAAAAAGGCTAATTTCCCCAAAAACTTCATTTTCGACAAAAAAATAACTAGTACAATTGTCAGCAGTCTATATTTAACATAAACACATTTTTGTAGATATGCAATCATCATTCAAAGGCCTCAAGTTGCTATGGGAGCTCTCCTGCAGGGGACATGAAATATGAGGCAAATTGGTCTTGAATGTGTGCCCCTTGTGGCAGACCAATTGGCCCTTTGCATGGAATGCATGAGTGAATCTTCGAATAGGAACTCATCTCAAGCACAAAATTGTGCAGGGCACATGCTACTTTAACAGCACAGATTACATTTCTCATGTTTAGGTTCACTGCAGTGTGCAAAAATCACCATTTATTGGATAGGATTCCAAAAGCGCACTCCACCACTCGACGTGCTCTTGTCAGCCTGTAATTGAAGACCCTCATCTGTATGTTCCCTATAATAGGGTCTCATGAGGTGCTCACCCAAGACAAAGGCCTCATCCCCTACAACAACAAACGGCAGAGCAGGACTTGTTGTACCCGGCAGTAGGGTTTTGTCTGGCAGGTCTAGCTAATTGTCATGCATCATCTGTCCTAAGGTGGAGTGTCCAAAAACACACAATGTAGCTGAGGCAGTAATTAGCATCTGCAATAGCCATCAACACAAATTAAAATGATCTTTTATAATTAATGTATTTGCTGCCGCTGGCTGTTGACTTTATGGCGCTGATGTGTTTGCCATCGATAGCTCCAACACAATTTGGAAAGATAGATTTGTTCCCAAAAACGTTGGGCACTCTAAGCCCACTCTTACTTGGTGGGTTTGACCGTCACCACATCGTTCAGTACATCCCAAATGACAGAGCATGTGTCTCATCGTCTGAGCTAGCTAGCTGTCGATTTTTCCAATCATGAAAGCGTTCAAACACGCAAAAATGCGCTTCATTTTTTAAGACAATGCATGAAAACGCACTGGAACGCGACGCCTAGGTGTGAACTTGGCCTAACTGTAAAAATGGGAGCTTGGAAACATATTTGCCACTATGGGCAGCAAGTATGATTCACTTACAAGGATGATACACTTTTCTTGTGGAACCAATTATATCAGAATTGTTGCCACAAGAAAACCTCTATTTTGTGATTGTCTTTGCAAACTGAAATATAGCTGAAAACTGCTGCATGGTTGTAGCTGAAGCTCTCATTTAAAATAGTGTTTGCTAGACTGCGCCTTTACAATGAGATGATTTGATTCCCCAATATATCTGAACCATTGAACAGCACAGAAGTAATTTCTGCATAGGAACATGAACATCTGGCTCTCGCTAAAAGAAACCGCTGACAGACACATAAACTGCATTAATAAAGACAAATCTTTGTTTTTACAGTATACACTACTGCATTATTGAGCTATTGTAATAATAACAGCTCCACAGCACCTCTAAGTAAATCCCTCTGGTGCTAAATGTTGTTATTGAAATAAAAAAAATAGGAGCCAGAGATTTTAACTCCTCCTGAAATGACATATAACATTTATGCCACTTATGTGACCTTTTCTATTTACTGCTCATCTGGTTTGCACAGTATCATTTGATTGATTACCCTGAAGTCATTGTTAATCACTGTGCTCTGCTCAGTAAAACGTAGCTCTTTGCAATTAAAAAATGATTTCAAGGGAAATTAAAATAGAAGTCTGGAGCGTAAGAAAATTATTATGTGGAAAGCATGTACATGCCAGCAATTTTATCACAACCTTTTCTAACCTAGATCACAGCATCAGTGTGATCCGGTTTATAAAGCTCTCATTTATCAGCCCATTGTCACATCTTGTATTAAACACATTGTGTTTTAATAAAGAAGACATAGCTATAATGCACAAAAAAACAGAGTTTATATTCTCTTTACACAATACCCTTCTTGTTTTGTAGCTTTGGTACTCATTTAGTATTACAATTTAAAGAGCAAGGTGTAGTACCCAGAGTAGCCTTTCAGTATCCAGCCTAGTGCTGCCCTGACTTCAGTAAAGTGATATCTGACTGGCTTTTAAGGGTCACTATACCTTAATTTTTGCACTTTGCTTCTTGTGTTTATTAAATAAACCATTTTGTGTTTTTAGGCCAATAATTTATATATATAATCTGCTGTGGTGTATTGGGTGTATTGTATAATCCGCTGTGACCTGTGTCACTTCTTGTCACTTGTTTGTCACTGATGGCATCCTGTTAACTATATTGAATTCAGTAATAAACATACACAGTATGAAACTAGGATGTCCAGCATAAAACAGTTGCAGCTCTTTAAAATAGACTACTGATGGGTATATTTCTTTTGGTTACGCAAAAAAATAGAGGACCAAAGCAGCAATATTAGCTCTGTTTCTAAGCCTCATCACATAGCTCAAATGTGTCGTAGGACAAATAATCGCACAAATTATTTAATGAAAAGGTACTGAACATGTAAAGCATTCCACAAATGTCATAATATTTTCTCACAAATGTCAGATTGAAAATGACTTTAAATTTTCTTAACATTTTTGCTACCCAGGGTTCATTTCAATCTCTAAACATTGAAAGTGTTCTGGATATGGTGCTATGAAATGGTGCTATGAAATTAGATTGCCGTGTCCATCATATTAAATGTACTTTAGTGGAAGTTGCAAGAATCATTTGCCTTGTACACTGAGTGGCCAGATTATTATGACCACCCCATCAGTACTTAATTGGGCCAATTTTTGCCTTCAATACACTGCGGCGATTCTTCTTGGCATTGACACCACGAGATGTTGAAAGG